CGCAGCTTCGCATAGATGAGTTTGAGAGCAAGTGTGAGAAGGATTTAGCTGGTAAGGAGAAAATGGTCACCAGCAGTGATAGTGGAAGCCGCTTTAAGTGGCAAGTAGTTCACAGTTCAGGAAGAAGGAAGATGAGGAGAGCTAATAGAGAAGATGTGAAGGTAGGAAATCGATTCTCTGTTCTCCAAGACGAGTGTACTTCAGTGGTTAGTGAGGTTGAAGGTACCACTGATTTCCCTGCTAATCAAGGTAAGAATATTTTAATAGTAGGCGATTCTCAGGTAAGATATATGGACCATGCATTTTGTAACAGACAGAAAGGTCAGACAGAGAGTGTGTCTTTCTGGAGCTGGTGTTGGTGACATAGTCAGCAGGTTGGATAATATTATGGCAGGTAATGGGAACAAGCCCATTATCTGTCTTAGTGCTGGGGGTAATGACATTGGGAAGGGGAGGAGAGAGGAGCTGCTGGATAAGTACAGGTCAGCCGTAGAAGTAATTAGGTCTAAGGGAGGGATCCCAGTCATATGTCGCATCTTGCCTAGAATGGGAGTGGGCAACAAATTGCTGGCTAGACAGGTACTGCAAGGAACTTGCAATCCCATTCACTGATAATTGGGACCTATTCTTTGGCAAACATAATATGTATGCAAGGGATGGGGTTCATCTCTCTGGGGATGGAGTGGTTACATTAGCCAATTCAATCGAGAGGGTAATTGATGACTTGCCTACTAATTTAAACTGATAAATTATAGAGGTATGGGTGTTTGTGGGAAACAAACAGGCTGCAGCACTAGGGTTAAAAACAGCAATTACCGGGATCCCCTCAGGGATATGTTTAAAAGACAATATTCAAAATATAGTTGCTTGTAATGGCAAATCAATTGATCAACAAACAAAGAGAAATAGTAGAGGGCAACCAGTGACTAGCTCCCTTAAGGTTTACTATAGAAATAGTAGGAGTCTAAGAAATAAGATAGATGAGTTAAGATTACTTGCAAGTGTAGGTAATATAGATATTATTGGTATAACAGAGACCTGGTTTAACCTGAAACATAGAAAAATGCCTTCTTAATGCAACATACAGGGTTATAAACTATTCCACACTGATACGGTCAACAGGAAGGGTGGTGGTGTGCTGATGTATGTCAAAAAAAATTTAAATTGTTGTCTTAGACATGATATAAGATTAGGAACATCGAAAACAGAATCTGTTTGGCTTCAGTTTCTCGAAGGACGTGGCAAATTAATTTTGGGTATGATTTATAGGCCCCCAAACCTTGATAGGGAGGGCAGTAAGCTGTTATGGGAGGAAATTCATAAGGCATCTAATCTGAAAAGTTGTTTAAGGGAGTTTTAAATTTTAAACAATTTTTGGGACAATATGACGGGAAAATCTTGAGTCTAGTGATTTCTTGATAGGTTTCAGAATTGCTTTTTAAAAAGGGTTGTGACAGAACCAACTGAGTAAACAATCTGCTTGACTTCCCTTTTTGCCAACAAAGAGTACTAATTTAAATCTTGGGGGAAATGATGAGTTTGGGGGGAAAGTGACACAAAATCACTTTTTTTTAAATATATCATGGAATTACCATATAACTGCAATCAAATCCTGTCCCAGATTTTTGCTTGACCGACTTATGGGACTGAAAAAAAGCCATACCTTTATAGGGGGGAAAATTTTTGGAATCAATAACTGCCGAAACAATTCTACCTCTTGACAGGCACAGATTGATTTAAAGAACCTCAACAGGTTTTACAAAGGGGGGTTCCTGTCTTACAATTTTCTAACTTTTTTTTAGTAAGGTGTTTTTTTGGGGGTAGATCAGGTAAAGAATTGATATTGTGTATATGGACTTCAGTAAGGAGGGTGTAGGGGAAATTTTTCGAGCACTTTTCAAAAAAAAACGAAAAAAAATTTTGGAACTGGTTTTTTTTATACAAAAAATACTTTAAACCTTTTGGGGAACACAAGGACCCGAATGAATGTTCATTATTCGGTATGTAAAAAGTTTGGGAGAATTACCGACAAATGTAAATAAAAGGACACAAGTCAAACAAAAGTACATTATTGTGGAACTTTCGCTCTCCCGGAGCTTTTCAAGCTTGATAAAGCCTGGAGAGCGAAAATTGCCACAAAAATGTCACATTAGTTGCACTTGTGTCCTTTTACTTTAATACAGTTGGTGACGGCGATTGGGGAGCACGTCTGCTCACACCCATTATTTCTTGGAAAATTTTCCTTGTTTTTTTTAAACGTTTTTTTTTTTTTTGTTACTTTCAAAAACTGAAAACTTTTTATCAATAAAAGTAGGCGGGGCTTATTTTAAATGCCAGAATCGGGACCATCTGGGAACGCTCGGCACTACTCCCCCTCCAAGGGTGCCAGGAGAAATTACTTCATTTTTAGCTTATATTTGCTTTTAATCAAATCTCGGCATATTTATCTATCAGAATTGATCTAATATGATACAATAAACACTATAAATAACATACAAACATGTTATATACTCTAGACTGAATAAAATAAGCCATAATATGGCGAGAGACCATCGGGAATATTTCGATATAAATGTTACTCCTCTCATATGTCGTCTTTGAGTAAGAGAAAACGTTGTTTTGAAGAGAATAACTACACTAGAGCATCAGTTTACTAAGAAATACACCCAAACAAACGCGATTTTCGCGATTTTTTTTTGTTTTTGCCGGTGGGCCGGCCGGCGTTCCAGGCCAATATCTCGCAAGTAACTTATTCACCTAATGTACCTATTTCTTCATTTATTACTTAATTAAATGGAATAATATTCACAGAAATTATAGAATGATGATTTCTCTAATTTCCTACGGCATATTTCTGGAAATATTCCAAATACTTTGGGAGTTATGTGGGAGTAAAGGACAGATTTTTTTGCAACATTCCAAGAACTAACAAACTTTATTTTTTTGTGAAATAAAGATAAGTTATTTAGAGGAAAGCTCCCAAACAAAATTCGTATAAGCATTGCTCTCTCGGCACCAAGTGTCCAAACAACCTTATGTTGTCCCATATAGGAATAAATCGCGCCCCAAGGGCATTTTCAGAAAATCAGTCCTTTTTCAGTCTTCTCAGTTGTTGTTTAAGGTATATTTTTGATAAATATTTTCAGGAAAGAGAGAAAACACTTTGTCTTGTGTACCAAAACTGAAGGAAATCGGACAGTAAACAAAGGTGAAACAATTAATTGGATGACAGCCTCCATAAGGCTTTCGATAGAGTTCCACTCCAGAGGCTATTGAGGAAACTTAAGGCACACGGAATAGGAGGAGAAATTTTTTCCTGGGTAGAGGCATGGCTGACAAATAGACAGCAGAGTTTGCGTAAATGGGGAGAAATCAGAATGGGGACATGTCACAAGCGGTGTTCTTCAGGGGTCAGTTGTTGTTCACAATTTACATAAACGACATAGATGAGGGAATAAATAGCAATATAAGCATATTTGCTGATGACACCAAGATATGCCGTCCAATTCATTCTAATGAGGACATTAGAGCACTCCAGGATGATTTGAATTGACTGGTGCAATGGTCGGAGAAGTGGCAGATGCAGTTTAATATTGACAAATGCAAAGTTCTAAATGTTGGACAGTTAAATAACCATGCCACATATAAGCTAAATAATGTAGATCTTAATACTACTGATTGCAAAAAGGATTTAGGAGTTTTCGTTAGCAGTAATCTAAAACCAAGACAACAGTGCATTAGTGTTCGCAATAAAGCTAACAGAATTCTTGGCTTCATATCTAGAAGTATAAATAATATAAGTCCTCAGGTTGTTCTTCAACTCTATATATCCTTGGTTAGGCCTCATTTAGACTATGCTGTGTAATAATTTTGGCAGAATTACCGACAATATGTAAAGTAAAAGGACACAAGTGCAACCAATGTGACATTTTATTGTGGCAACGTTTCGCTCTCTAGGAGCTTTGTCATCGGTTTGGCAAAGCTCCTAGAGAGCGAAACGTTGCCACAATAAAATGTCACATTAGTTGCACTTGTGTCCTTTTACTAGACTATGCTGCTCAGTTCTGGTCACCATATTACAGAATGGATATAAATGCTCTGGAAAACGTACAGAGGAGGATGACAAAGATGATGCCATGTATCAGAAATCTTCCCTATGAGGATAGGCTGAGGGCCCTGAATCTGCACTCTCTCGAAAGGCGTAGAATTAGGGGGATATGATTGAGGTGTATAAATGGAAAACAGGAATAAATAAAGGGGATATAAATAGCGTGCCGAAAATTTCCAGCCAAGACAGGACTCGCAGCAATGGTTTCAATTTGGAAAAATCCAGATTCAGGAAGGATATAGGAAAGCACTGGTTTCGTAATAGAGTTGTGGATGAGCGGAACAAACTCCCGAGTACAGTTATTAGGGCTAAAACGTTGTGTAGTTTTAAAAATAGGTTAGATAAATACATGAGTGGGTGAGGGTGGGTGTGAGTTGGACCTGACTAGCTTGTGCTGCTGGGTCTGGTGCAGTGCTCCATCCTTGAGTGACGGTGACCAGACTGGGTGGGTCACTGGGCTAATCTGGGGGGGGTGTCATTGGTCTAATCCAGGGGGGACTTGGACCTGCTCCACATGGGTCAGTAGGCCTGTTGCAGTGTTCCTTCCTTATGTTCTTATGTTCTTATCTCTTGTGTGGAACTGTGTCAAACGCCTTCTTGCAGTCCATTTCTTGCGCAGGTGTGTGTGTGTGTGTGTGTGTGTGTGTGTGTGTGTGTGTGTGTGTGTGTGTGTGTGTGTGTGTGTGTGTGTGTGTGTGTGTGTGTGTGTGTGTGCATGTGCTTGCGCGCGAGAAAGTGTTCGTTTGTTCTCAACGAGTTGTGGCCAGAAAGATGTTAATCTCATGAGTTCTGGCTTTCATTGAGACTTTTCGAAAATGAATAATAGAGCCTTAAATCATTTATGTATTAACGAAAGTCAAGAGTCGCAGTTCAACATATGACTGTTCCACAGCATGCCCAAACACCGGATCCTGCTTGTTGTACGAGGGAGGTCAGTGTAAATTAACCTGCGCAAGAAATGAGCGAGTGACTCCCGGCATTTGTAACTTGGGAAAAAATTGTAAGTGTTGTGCCAAGCAATGCACGCCACTGAAGTCGTGCACTGACATCAATGGCTTTTGTGTTCAAGACCGGAAGGACTGTGTTAATGGCTTCATAAACGTGGGAGACTGTCAAGGTTATGGATGCATGTGCTGCAGCCAGGAAC